CATAATTAATATTTTTGATTTATTCTTTCTTTTAACTACAAGTTATTACCATGTTATAAATCAAAGTTACATAATGAAAAGAATGACAATCTTCTAATTAAGAAAAGGAAAAAACACAAAAAGAACACTGTTCCAATGTTTCTTTATTTTGCACAAATCTTTGTTTAATCAACTGTTATTTGACAGTAAAATGATTATAAGTTTTTCTGATTTATTTTTCAATTTAACTAAAATTGATCATCAAATTCAAGGACCTTTCAAGGACTTTCCAGTACCAATTTCCTCAAATTAAAGAACCACGCGCGACGACAATTACCTACTGCTACTGCAGAGTGTTACCAAYAAACAGGTTTAATATCAAGTAAATTCAATGAAAAACTGAACAACATAGAAGTTGTTGAGTCAGAAACAATGACGTCAGTTTACGGCTTTTACTTTAAAGAGAAAGCTGAACAGAACTTGATTCTCTCCGCTGGACAAATGAGATCTCCGGAGACTCTGTAAACCAAAACTGTGGAAGTTTTTATTGGCCGTAAGGGACCTGACCTGAGTTTCTTATCAACTGAGGGAACTCTTCCTGCCACTTAACCTGACGGTCAAGACCCCTCCAGGTAAAAGCTGAATGTTTTGACTAAGTGGACCTGAGTTCGGGCTGACGCGGCAGCAGAGGCCCACCRTGTTCGTTTTGGTTTCCTCACATATTGATAAAGTTACACATTAGTAGCCTAATAACATTCCTCCTTTTCTTTCTTTTTCTTAAACCTAAACCTTGCCATATACAGCGGGTAAAATAAGTATTGAACACGTCAACATTTTTCTCAGTAAATATATTACTAGAGGTGCTAATGACATGAACTTTTCATCAGATGTTGGTAACAACCCAAGTGATCCATACAAAGAAATCAAACCATAAATGTCCAGAAATGAAGTTATTTGTAATAATGTCGAATGGCACAGGGAAAAAGTATTGAATACACTTAACTGAAATTTATCTAATACTTTGTACAAAAGCCTTTGTTGTCAATGACAG